CCTTGGGGACCTGGGCGTGACGATGCGGTACCGCAGAGACGTAGCGCTTCCCCCGCCGCGGGGGCCGTTCCGTGTGCACACCAACATGGACTCTAGGGTGGTGAGTCCTTGCTCCCGGTGCGGCCGTGCGTGCGCCACTGTTGTTCTTATCTTTAGCGTCGTCGTTGCCGTCGCCGTTGTTTCCGATTGACGGTGTGCGTGCTTGGTGTTTTCTTTTCGGTAGTCGTCGTTGGCGATGGTGATGGTGTGGTTCAATGCGGAGCCACCGCTTCAACTACCGTTGGGAACGGTAAATCCTTTGTAAGCGAGTTAACAAGTCACGGAGTGTTGTGAGCAAAAGAGAGTGGGCGTGGTCCACGATCTGTCGAGATTAAAGTCATGTTGGTTTTGCTACAAGTTTGTTTGTTTTGCTACTAAGGTGTTTTTTTTTTTTCTTTCTTTTTTTTCGGGAGGGGGGTTGTGTGGTGCTTGCGGCTTCGATGAAGTCACTCGAAATGATAGAATAATGACAATAGCTAGCTAGATATGGGCGTCCGACCTCGACGACCTCAATCGACACGCATGTGCGCCACCACCACGCCACTCCAGGTGGTGATCAAGCTCATCCCCGGGTTTGACGACCACGCCCTCCTCGCCCTGGTGGAGCACTGCACCGCGCTGAGGGCGGTGGTGCTGGAGCTGTACGGCACCGGCAACAGCCCGAGCCGTCGGGAAGATTTTGTCCAGTTTATTAAGGTACGTTGGTGTCTCCTACCATACATTCATTTTGTGGTGCCCAGGTTCCGGCGGGGACAGTAAGGTCGTTGCCTGGTACACGTGGGTATTGCAGATCAAACCTTGAATGTTTTGACGACTGCATACAGGCAGGGGAGGGGGGGGGGGGTACTCATGGTCGTGCATGCCGTAGTCGTTAGACCATTGACCTCGCATCCCTACAAAGCCGGGACGGAGCACGCCGGGTTCTCACCGGACCAGGCTCTCACATCACCAAGCGCGAAGCGCCGTGAGATATTCGGCGAGTCGCATGAAGGGTGCGCCGCATCCTGCTACGGGTTTTCGGCATCTTGTGCTTACTTCGATGCGTACGGATGACAGCTGCGTATGACTCCACTTTCAGAGACAGTTGTAAGATATGTGTATGTGCCTCGAGAGTGCTTGACCATTTCAACACGACGTGGTGCGATCATCCACCTTGCGCGGAGCGAGGGTTCTCCACCCCGCACAACATGATCTACTCGACCACCATTATGG